ACCAACCATGTTGTTTATAATGACTACCTCGGCTGAATCGCCTATCTTCAAGGCACTGCCAAACTCTTCGAAGTACATCTCGTCCAGCTCAAGAAGGGCATCCGTCGCGGGAACTGCCTTGAGGGTGACGTCGCCGTCTCCCCACCATCAAACCGTTGACTGAGTGCTGCTCATGTACTGAAGCAGTCACTGCACGCGAAGAGTGACATTGTTGGAAGAGGGCCGAGGCTTCATTGGCAAGGCCCTTCAGATGCGCGAGGAGTGGCACGAAATCCAGCTAGTACTGTTCGCGCTTCAAAGCAGTTGCTGAATGCCTAGAGTGGCATGGACAAGATTTAAGGCATCTTGAGCAAAGCACTCAGATGCGCCTTGAGTGGCAGGTTATCCACTAGACGATGACTGCGGAACTCGCAACACTTCGTCAGATGTTGTTAATAACGTCAAGGCCTCGATGGAGCAGGGAGTGAGACACTGGACGACACTGAATGCGTGTTCCGACACCGCTGGAGAGAGGCAACGGCGACCCTGTATGCTATCTGTAAGACGCTGGGCATTGACCCCGATTTAGGGTGTGTCAACCGTAGTCGTGTGTGTAGCACTCAAAGTCTTCGACCTCCCATCGATCCATGCCTCATGGTGTTGCAACCATGTCATACCAAGGATAAAATCATATATCGAATTCAAGTCTAAGACAAAGCAGCTTTTCACGATATCGTGGTCAAGAAACTGGAATTCGAGGTCTACAGGGACCCTCGGCACAGTAACACAAGTTCCCGTCGCTAAGGGAACAGTAACGGTGTCACTCAAGCGCGCTTCCAGCGCTTCAGCATACAGCTGATCTTCGATCGCGGAGCGTCAAGCCTAATCACCCGATTCACCAGAATCGATGAGGATTTTTCGTAGCTTCTCAAAGCCTTTCACGGTCACTTATACGACCAGCAAGCCTGCCTTGCAAACACGTTCCGTGTTCACGAGCCCGCAGCTCTTCGGGGCTGGCCCTGCTGCCTCTACCTCTTTGAGGCTCAACAGAAATCAGATCCTTCCCACTAGGGCGCCCCGCGCCTACTGAGTGTTCTCGTTCCCCCGCGTCGAACCATACTGGATAGAATTGGGACGGCGGTTTGATGAACCTTTATGCGCCTTGCGCAATGGAAAACCCGTCCGAAGGTGACAGGTGTCTCCACAAACAAAACACCGTCGAATGTTTACATACTGCTCGGCAGCTCGGAGCTCACTCTCCTCTATCTCAGTATAGCTGAGATCCATCGGCTCATGCCCGCTCAATGAGCTCTCAGGGTGTGCGTTCCAACCAAGTCGTGCAGACTTGAAGTTGAATTCGGCATTGAATGCCACGTTCACCGCTTTTTCAAAACAAGACGGATGCATACGGAAACCTTCCATTCTGGCAACGCCGGTGCGGAGGCCCTCCAGAAAGACGGTCACTGCGACCGCCTCGGGGAGAAGATTTGCTGCCTTCCCGGCAATAAGGGTTCCCAACTCTAGTACAAAGTCCACTAACTCCTTCTTGCCCTGTCAGGCAGCATGGATATGCGATCTCACGCGCTACGCCTTAATTGTCGGCGAGAACACTAGCTGCAGCAGATAGGATATACTCAGCATGCCCAAAAGCTGACGCTTCAGCTTCTTTCAGGAGGGAAACACAATTCCAACCGAAACACCGCACATTAGTGCCCATTATCGTGCTCGGCACCCGAGCTTGGAGATAGCCAGCTCCACGAGTTGTTGTCGTTTTGGAGAATGGTGGATGTCATAGCCACCTCGGCCTCTCTTATCCAGGGCAAGGGATTACGCTCACCATGAGCGGCCTGGGTCGATAATTATTATCCGTCGTCGACGGTGGTGTCATAGACGCTGTCGACGCCGACGGTTTTTGCTGTAAGTACTCAATCAGAGCAATTTTATAATTTTAAAACCTCCTAGGCGCGAGCTTATGGCCTTGGGTCCTTGCACAACGAGGTGCCAAGTGCAGCGGGGCTGTCGTAGCTCTTTGCTTTGAAGAAGCTAAGCTAAGGACACCGACCTCACGTTTCTTCAAAGAACCAGTTCAAGTGTAGCGGATCGCAACCCGCTACTTCTACGTACTAAAGCCTTACCAAGGCGAAGAGCACCGTTGTCCAAAAACGAAACCGAATTCATTTGTTTTAGCAGCGGCAGAGCCGCAAATATCTAAAATCCTAGGTTTTTCTAATTGATATAGTAATACCTAATTAATATAGTGGTATGCATCACTACTGGCAATGCTGCTTATTACAGTGTAGCCACACCACTGTGTAAGTACACTAACTGTGTAATACACACCCTATGTACGGCCGCACAAGATTGTGCGACCCCCGCCTGTTCTCACAAGGGCACGTGTAACCCCGTTACAAACCGTATGTCAGTTAGGGTCGGTGGAGTACTGTACATTACAAGGATCAGGATCTGAAGGGAATAAGGATGATTTTTCCTGATCACAAGGTATTGTTACCACCACTTGCTCACCGTACAGTGCAGTAAAACTCCACGAATCAGGGGCGAGGAAAACTATTCCCAGAAGCTGAAGTCTCCCCTCACTACCTTCGGCAAAAGCCCTGAAATTTTTTTTCAATAAAGTGCGTGTAACTGAGTCTCAGTATCTCATCGATACTTTGTTACTGATCAATATTTACATGCAGTGTGACTTATCCAGATTTGATTTGTGTACGATTAGTAGTAATCGTACAAATTAGTACTAATCTGAAATGTGTGTACTTACTAATAAATAGTGTGACTTATCCAGATTTGATTTGGACAGATTAGTACAAATAGAGATTAGTACACAAATCAAATCTGGATAAGTCACACTATTTATTAGTAAGTACACACATTTCTTCGGACAGTAGTGAAACGTGTTGCAAAAATATTATATAGGTAGTCGAAAACATAAGTAATATATTAAATTGTTTCAATTACTTCTGATGCCAAAAAAAAAACCATTACTATGGGCAACCTTCTCACGAGTTTACTGTCGCGACGCTCGCAACTCATCCTGGTTCTAGCGCTCACATACTTTGGTCATAAATCCTGTAAGCGCATTGTGTTGCGTTTTTTGTACCAATACCTCAGCGAGACACCACGACTTGTATGCAAAGGCACGGATGGCAACGCAAAGCTTTTATCACATTGTCCAACATTGAGTACGTATAATCATATATACTCAATTCTGTTCCCTTATTTATTTGTATGTCTATAAAATAGCAAAAGGAAAATATTATCCGCCTTGGCGTTTGTTCAACGGACACCTGCAGACATTACGCTTTGCTTACGATAATCGTGGACCAATCATTAATTACCGGAGACAATTGCTAAAATTACCTGATGGTGGCGTGGTGTCATTAGATTGGGCACTTTTACATGATCAAAAAGTACCCAATCTAGTTACAGACCTTAATAAATCTGCTACAACATCATGGTGGCGGGATGTAGATCCTTCGCGACGTACGATGATTTTACTACCCGGACTTACTGGGGGTAGTCTAGAAAATTATATTCGGAGTACTATTGCAAAATTGCATTCGCTTAAATGGCAGTGTGTCGTGCTTAATGCTCGAGGATGTGCTCAAACACCTGTGACGACTGCGCAGCTCTTTTGTAGTGCGTATACTCATGATCTCCGCTATGTAGTGAAACAATTGAGTGAAAAATACAATTTTGCTCGAGAAGCATTTGTTGGAGTTGGATTTTCAATGGGATCTAACATTTTGGTTAAATATTTGGGAGAAGATGGAGATCAAACGCCACTCACTGGTGCGATTTCAGTTGGCAATCCATTCGACTTAACGCTTTGTTCTGCCAACTTTTGTGATTCACTTTTCAATCGTATGACATATGACAAGGCATTGAACAAGAACCTTCGCGAACTCTTTTTTATTAAGGTATGTCATAACGAAGAAGGAAATGTTGTCTGTCCTAACAGAATTTATGATTCCTTAGTCAAACGCCTCAACGAAATTTATGAATTTCCCTGGTGTCAATCTAGACGCGATCAAGGCCTCTCGTACCGTGCGAGACTTTGACGACGCTTTAACAAAATACGTTTTTCATTACAATACAGTTGATGATTATTACAGCGACGCAGGATCTGTGAAGAAACTTAGTGGGGTGCGAGTTCCTTTGCTTTGCATCAATGCCGAGGATGATCCAATCAGCATTCGCTCTGCGCTGCCCAAAGACGACGAGATTATGGCGAATCCCAACATAATCTTGTGCACAACCAAGTCGGGTGGTCATTTGGCATTCTACGAAAGCTCTTTAAAAGCTTTTGAGTGTACAAAGAGATTTGCTGATGCACCGAACATGTGGTCTATCAATCCAATTGCAGAGTTTGCGGAGGCTGTGCGTCTTGAGAAAAAGAATTCCCTCATGTAAGATATTGGCTTTGGTGATCATCAACGCCTTTGAGTCTATGTAGGCTCAGATGCAGCAAGAGCCTTTGTGCATCAGCGAGCAGTAATGAACGATCAACCTAGACCCACTGCTAGAGACATTGATGTGTCTCTCGGGATCAATTTAGTAAAATCTAGCAATGCAAGCCAAAAACCACGGAAAGTATAAAAGTTACTGATAGTTCGTCAAAAGTTGACGTGATGATCTTCACCAGCGTGTTGTAAGCATCCACTAGTTGCATCAAATGAAGAAGCATACGTTAAGAAAAAGCCTAAAAGTAAAAGTACGTGCGGGAGAATCGTTAGACTTCCAATTACAATATATTTGTTACTAGCAGGCTCAAACTACCGCAAGGAAGCTGAAAATTGTCTTTTACATACTAAATCTGGTTTTACCCATTACTTTTTGTAGATCTCCATGATGCTTTGATACAGTACAGCTCCTTGTTTTTTATGGGCATGAAGATCCATTTAAATGCTCAGCTCGCATTTCATAGATTTAGCGACTAATACCTAAAGGCAAAAAGTTGGTTGCGAGTGGCAAGAGCGAGTTGGCAGTCGTTCTTATCAAATGCTATATATATACAAAGCGAAAGATACGATTTATTTGATGTCCTACATTGTATTTAAAATTGTCAAATGCAATGTTATCTTTCGTGGTCTAGTCATACATTCTCCTAAGCGCATTCTCTTTTTGTAATTATGAACAAGGTAGCGAGATCACCTATCTACATGCAAATTATCTAACTGCTCGTGCAGTAGACAACAATCTAATCGAAGGG